GCGGCGGATTCCGGGCAAGCGGCGGAGGCTCCGCCGCCGCCCCCGTACGGCTGAGGCTGGTGGTACGGTGATGAAGCTGGTGGCATGGCATCAGCGGCTGCCGCTGCCGCTGCTGCTGCTGCTGCCGCTGCTGCTTCTTCTTCGTGGGTGGGCGAGGGGCTGAGGAAAGGGTTGTCCCTGGGGGCTTCGGGGATCAGTCCGGCTAGGGGGTCGTTCTGCTTCGATTCGTCGGTGCCACCGCCGTACCCGCCGCCGCCGCCGCCGCCTCCGCTCGAAGAAGGCATTCCTGTTGCCTCCGGAGCCGGCGCCGGTGCTGCTGCATCGTTGCTTGAAGGCATTCCTGTAACGACCTGGTGATGAGGTAAGGTGGTAGTGGGTGACCCCCCGAGGAAAAAATGCGGCGGAATTTTCGTGTGTGCTTGGTCAGCATTTTGTCGAGGCGATGCGATGGGATCACACAAGCGGCATAGCTCCCCGTTTAACTGGTGACCACACGGCAGTACACGTCAGGAACTGACAGCAATGCACGACGCGATGGTCCTTGCGAACGTGCGTGCAGAACTTGGTTTTGAGTAGGTAAACATGACAACAAGACGACGAAGACTAACATCTACACCGATGACACGGAGTTGGGGGGTGGACGCGGGTCGTATGAATTGTTGTACTGTAGCTGTGCCCCCTTCAGCCAAGGAGGTCTCTCTCTCTCTCTCTCTCTCTCTCTCTCTCTCTCTCTCTCTCTCTCGCTGCCTGCCTGTCTCTCCCTCCCTCTCGCGCGCTCTCTCGGCACCTATCAGTCTGTTTCTCTCTCTCTCTTTCTCTCATTCCCTCTTCTCTCTATACAGATGCGGTGGGATCCGTAGAGCTGTGGTGAGGCCGAACAGACACCAACAACGAGGACCGGCGCCGAAGAGAACAAACTCCCCCGCCTAAGTGTTCCGCCCCCGCCCCTTTGAAACGAAGCAAAACGACGACAAATAAAAACAGACAAAATGTGAACATCCATACTACTGTCCCAGAACACACGCTCGTACATAGGCCACCCACCTCTCTCCAAGCGGGATCAGGGCGAGGGACAAACAACGATAACAACCCAACAGCAGCAGCAACAACAACAACAACAGAACTACAACAGCACCAACAACAACAGCAGTACTCACGTCCTCCCCAGCCCCCCCGGGAGTTGGTATCTTCCCCTCCTTGAGAGCCTTGAGGATCTGCGAGGCCTTCCACTTGCAGTAGATGCGTCTTCGGTCCATCTCTTCTTCGGGGGGGCCGAACTGACGAAGCACGTCGAAGAACACCCCAGCTGCGCAGAAAGACAATAATCGGGGGGAGCAGGGCAGGGGGAGGGGGGGGGGGTACTCATAGTCGTGCATGCCGTAGTCGTTAGACCATTGACCTCGCATCCCTACAAAGCCGGGACGGAGCACGCCGGGTTCTCACCGGACCAGGCTCTCACATCACCAAGCGCGAAGCGCCGTGAGGTATTCGGCGAGTCGCATGAAGGGTGAGCTGCATCCTGCTAAGGGTGTTCGGCATCTTGTGCTTACTTCCTTGCGTACGGATGACAGCTGCGTATGACTTAATTTATTTTCTGGTGCTTTCACTTCCAGAGACAGTTGTAAGCACTGTGTAACTGCCTCGAGGATGCTTGACCATTTTAACACAACGTGGTGCGATCATCCCCCGTTGCGCGGAGCGAGGGTTCTCCACCCCGCACAACATGATCTACTCGACCACCATTATGGTTACCGCCAAAAAAAAAAAAACAGAGGAAACAAAAAAACCGGTAACCTGGTTGCCGAGTTCA